AAATTTTAAAAAACCAATAGAAATTTTAATATTACTGTGTGTTTAATTAAATCTGTGTTTTGAAAAATATAGTGAACAACCATAGTTGAAAAACAGTGTTAAAGAAATAAATAAGTTATAATATTTTGCAACTAATTAATCAGTCGAACCGCTGGCCACTCCCTTGCTATTTTAATTTATAAATCGTGCATTTTAATTCTGAACCTCAGTCCACAGTTCTCCAACAGCATACACAAAGGCGGTAGTGAAAGTATCCTCCTGAACCTATAGGTGTAGGACGTGAGCGGCTCGCGGAGTATCTTCGACAACATTTACTCCGGAGAGTTACGCCCGTCCGGCACATATTAAATTAGATTGTTTAGTGTGATTGCCAAGTCAATTTATTACACATGCCTACTTGGTTATTATTAGAATGCCTACTGAAACTTCAGGCTTTTAGTTTTATCCACAACGAAGTTATAGGGTTTCGAAAATGGCCTGAACTGCTTTGAGAAAAGGATGGTAAGTACGGCAAGGCCGCTTTTTTGCTCGACTTGGCGGGAGCACTGCCGTGCCCGCAGATTAGGGGCTTTTTAGGTGCTAATTGTGCAAATTTCCAAAGGTACCAAGCTTAAAAATTAGTTGCTCTAAAATTTTCACCGCAACGAACTTTTGAAATTTGCATAATTAGCACCTAAAAAGCCCCTAATTTTGGATTTTTCTGAATGCAAATTCCTGACTTTGCGTTGCTGGCGATGCTCGCCAGCTACAATAATTATATTAAGTAATTACGAAAAATTTTTGCCGTGTAGTGGCGGTTAAGAATATCCACTACCCCATATCTTCCCGTGGGTGTCGTAAAAGGCGACAAAGGGAAACAGGCAGGAGATGGGCAGCAGCATCTTCCTGATAACAGCAAAAATTAGAATAAAAAAACTGCGGTTGCCAACCCGCTCGCCAAGCGTGGCAACTATGGCAATATACCTCCCATGAGCAATGACGATAATAAACGGCCCCCAGTTCCCGGTGGCCCCGCTATTCCTGGCTACGGTGGCGACCATGGTAACGGTGGGGCAGGGGGTGCTAAGAATCTCCGGTGGAGGTTCTGTTGCCACCTAAGACGACTCGACCTGGCAACATACAACGCACGCACCCTGAGGACTGACGAGAAGATCGTGGAGCTGGAAGAAGAGATAGACAAGTTACGCTGGCATATTATAGCATTATTCGAAGTCCGAAGAGAGCACTTCTGTTTATAGCGTGATGCTATTTTACAGGTGCGACCAAACCATGGCTGGAATCTGCCTCCGATGGGCACCATAGAAGATGGAATAAAAAGTTCCTTACTCTAAAGTACCACATCAGCAACAGAATCGGTAATAGAATCGGTAACAACGAATGGGATCTTCCGGCGAGAAGCAAACCCACCCCCAAGGGTAGGATGCAAAGAAAGACCGCATTCTATCCCAATCGACCTACCTATAGTGCCAAACACGGCGGCAGCCTGCAGAATGCAACCGCGACATTAGTGTGAGTGGCAACACACCCCGGACAAGACAATGTTCCAACGAGCCTAAAGGAGCTTCTACAGAAACCTTATATCCGTCCGGATGAGAGTCCAACAGGTCCAACAGGGAAGGTGAATGATCTCCCACGTCTGGAATCCGCGCAGACGAAGTAACCAGCTGTGTAAGAGCATATTCCAAAGCAAAATCATAAACAGATCCCCCCGCACGATTGGTCGAACGTAAACAGAGCCATTTGGCGTGGTGGGAGTTTAAAATCTCTCTGCGGATGGGATCTGCTGTAGCAAGGAATCTGTAGCCATTTGGACGTGGTTGATGAGTCGGTCTGTTTCGGCATTACCGCTATGGAACCTATAGAGGCACCCGTAGACGCGGGGATAGTCGTCACTGTCTACGCGCAACCATAGAATGGACAGGTCCGTACCTTCAAGACTGCCGAGGCGTCGAAAACAGATGTCCTCTCTGACGTATACGCACTCCATCCCGGGGCACAAAGGAGTGTTCTAATTTGTACCCCGGGTAGGAGAGAAATGAAGTATCATCCGGAGAGGACACCTAAATCTCGGTTAAAAAGAGCAAGGCCGGCTTCACCGTCTCTAGATGGTAATGGAAAGCGTTAAGGTTGGAATGAAGTTCCCTGATGTTGCAAAAATTTATGGATAGCGTGACAGGGGTCACCTTGGTCTTATTGCTACAAGAGCGGAATTCCCCCGAAGATTTTATTGAAAGTATGGCTTTTCTAGTATCCTCATCAGTCACTGAACTGAAGTTGAATAAATCGATAGCAATGGCATGGCATTAAGTTCCTGGAGAGTCGTAACACTTTAGTGTAACAGTGCAGACGCAAAGCAGAAGAGAAGTTCAAGTCATTGAGTATCTTTATTTATTTTTTATTGAGTCAAGAATATCGGGAATTAGATAATTGGAATGTGATTTTCCAAATCCCAGGAAATTAAGGAACTTCCATATGTTTGTAGAAGAGGAAAATACTACAAAGGTAAAATACTATTGTGGATGTGGCTTACCTATAGTATTTCGTAAATATTTTTATCTAAACTGAATACTATTAACTGCAATTTAATTTCAATTTAAAAGAAAAACGCTAGGCGCGTGACGCGAAAACCCCGGCGCAGCGCATGGGGAAAAAACATGAAACAACAATAGTGGTATAATTTTGGACAAATAGTATTTGAAAATGACGTCGCCTCTATTCACCTCTCACTATTTACACCCGCCGATAAAGTCAAAAGTAATACGTTGCGTAATGCGTTTTTCTGCCGACTTCCAAAAAGGAGCCGGTACTCAATTCGACTGTATGTTTTTTTTTTTTCGTTTTTTTTTTATGTGTGTTACCTCAGAACTTTTTTCTGGGTGAACCGATTTCGATGATTCTTTTTTTATTTGAAAGCTGGTACTTCTCGTGTAGTCCCATATGAATTTGATCAAGGTCAGACCAATAGTTTTTAAGTTATTCTTAAATAACTTATATTGAAGTCAGCTGTACAAAATTTTTAATTTTAAATTATTGCTTCTAATGTTAGCTAAATGCGAAACTACAAAAACAATTCAGTCCGGTTGTGCGATTTTTCAGCCTAAATTTTTGAGCTGAGACGGAGCCACCATTTCTAATCCATTCTATTTTTTTCTTTTCTATTCCATTCTTTATCCGTACGCACTATACAATTTTTTTTGAGGGTCTGAACCAACCCTGATCGTGTGTAGATGGAGAGATCTGGAGAACGCAAAACACAGTCACAGAGTATGTACTTTGTTTAAATTGCTAAAACGTAGTGATTAGTGACATCGTTACCACTTTAGTGATTTTGTCACTACATTTAGTGAATTTTAGGAGATAGATAGTGATATTCTGAAAAAGAAAATCCCTAAAAAATTATTTTATGACTTTTAGTGATATTTATCGAATCTCGAAGAATTTAGAAAATACATATTAGCAACCCTCTTTACCTGTCGGTAAATTCCCCAGTTTATGTCAAAATAGCACTATCCTTTTCTCACATTACAAAAACGTAATTAGACATCTTTGTTTGGTTTTCCTAAGCTTACCTTGGACTTTTCCCGACTAATAATGAGGACCTAATACGTATGTAAAGTTGGTTTCAGTGAGTGCTGAATACTGGAAGGTTGATATGAACATTGAAATATAAGAAGGTCTCCTAATAAAAAACTTAATTGGAATCGGGGTAGATGCCTCTGTGATAACTGGAATCAATAATGGCTTACGTGTACCTAATTAAATTCTAGTCATATGTGTTTGCCACTCATGCACTCATTCACACTGTTTCACATGTGTCAGAGTAAATGATACCGCGAAATATAGAGTTTCTCATTAGAGAAACTTATAATTAGTTCTCACTTTCACCCAAACGCTGTGATGAGTACAAAGATATATATGAGATAGTAAATTATGGCGAGAATACTTGAAGCTGGCTGGCTGCCCGTTGAAGAAACTGTGACCAGGAGGCCGTCTCGATTTTATATGTTGTGTTTATTGTTATTATTTCCACAATTAAAATAGTATTTTTATGACATACCATTTGATTTAATATTAAATAATTTGGTGAATTCTAGGGATTTTTTTTTTAAGTAAAAATATCCCTAAATCTGGTGAAATTTCAGACCATAACTAGTGATAAATTTTTCTGCAAGGTGGCAGCACTGATTGGGAATAAACTGAATTTAGGGAGTTTTGGCGGGAAATTGACCGGCGGCGGTTTGCTGCTCCTGTATTATTGTTTAAATAATGGTTTGAAGTGGACTTTGATATGTAAAAGTGTTGCGATTTTGTGTATTAAGTGTCTACGCATGTGAACTATTAGTGGAAACAGTGAAACAAGTGCTCTGATGGTGATGGATTCTCAAGATAAGCTGTTTGTTTGCATAGGCACCTTTAGATACCATCGCCAACTATCAGCTGTCTGCTGGATCAAGTTGCCGCCAAAATCTCCCAAGAACTGCACAATGTGACGCATCAACATATTGTGAAGCAGTATACTATGAAGGAGTGGGAAAATTACAATAAACCGAATAAAAATACTTAAGACTTGGCCTAAAGGTCTAGATACCAGGCCATAAACTCCAAAAAAAAATAACTGAATTTAGTCTATGATTTTATTGCTCTTGTCAATGTGGTAATTGCGATATTGTTTGGAAATATTGGTTTTATTTGTGAATTTTATTTGCATTTTAAATAATTAAATACATTCCAACCTTTTTCTGTGATAAAATTTTGGTATCTCTATACGGACTATAAATTAAAATCGTACGTAATCTTCAAGTCGCTGCAAGGTGGTCATTGGGGGTATGTCCTACATTGCACCTAATATTTTAATTACTAATAATTTTCGTTAAAGTCGCGTGATTTAAATGTATGATTTGGTAGTTCGTCTTAATTGGTATTGTTTTAGGTAAGTTTTTGTTTTTTCCGTAATTAATTTGACATCTTTTATTGTTCTGATTACCAATTTCTTTCAGGAAATGGAGGCAATGGACATTCAGGCTGTAGAATCGAAATTGAGTGATGTAACGGTGACTGCAATACCTATGAGTAGCAAGAGCATCCATAAAGATGTAGGACATAGCAGTAATAGTCATGCAACTATATCAACTGTACCTGCGTCGTCACCTTCTTCTGTGGGAAAGGACAAAGACAATGGCATGTCAAAATACGCGCAATTGCTGGCAGTTATTGAAGAAATGGGTAAGGAAGTCAGGCCAAGTTATTCAGGAAGTCGTAGTTCAGCAGAGCGTCTTAAAAGGGGCATTGTCCATGCTCGTATTCTTGTGAGAGAGTGCCTAATCGAGACTGAGAGATCTGCTAGGCAATAGCTTAATAGAAATCTTTCACCACAGTCAATTTTTAGTGTACTTCATTTATATATTTAATGTGGAATTATCATTTGTACTGCCCATATAGAGATACAGATTTTTTAATGTTGATGTTGGTTCAGTGTTGTAGCTTAAAATGTTATGTAGCAATCCCATTTGTGAACTTGAATATGCATTTACTAAGTAAAGACTGGATAACAGTTCGCTTCTTCTTTTTAATCATAAAATGAAATCATTTTACTCGCTCAAAATATTAGATTTAATTGAATGAAGGTGAAAGTGTGTAACCGGCTCAGTGTTAATGACTCTGTATGCTCTAAAATTTTAATTTCAAAGTAATATATATTAATAAAGTAATCTTGCTAATGTTTAGCCATATTTGAAAACCTTTGTAATTTATTTTAATTTTTTTTTGTAATCTCAGATCAAAGGAACAATATAACATACTAATTTAAAAATATACTTACTTATTAAAAATAAAAATTAATAAATATGTTAATTATAATTGTTTAAAAGTTTCATTCTTACATTTGTAAAATTTAGTTTCATTAATAAACTTATTAAATAAACTGTTATAGCTGACTAATTGGCCATATTCAATTAATTTATTGTCTTGCAATTGTTATTTTCAAATATTTTTTTTGTTACTTGATCTGAGACAATATTAGGTTTACATGAAATTTAAATGACTGATTTAATGCAATGAAAACAAAATATCGCTTACAAATCATACCTATGTGAAAGTTTTAGTGATGTGAAAAATTTTCTTCTACAATTCTTTAAGTAATTATATGTGAGTAATATTTTAACAAATTATTAGAATTAATTAAAATATATAATTCAGGGTACTTAGACATAAAGTTATGACCTTTCAAGTTTCTCTATGTGACAAAGCTATTTATCATCACCTTTCAAATTATGACAAATTTATTTATGTTTCAATTTAAATTGCTTATTTATTGTAAATTTTTCCAAAGATCTTTCATTTTTATCTTGATATTTTGTTTTCTAATGTTAAAATCTATTTAACAATTATAATAAGTAGGGAATAAATTTGGCAGTTGAAAGGTTCCACATTTGTTATAATATGAGATATCTGTAAAACATAGAAAATATGCCGATATGTCCTGAAAGCGAACAGGCTGTGATTGCAACACTTATTGTGAACATCTACCTCAGACAAAAAACAAAATATTAATATTTTTAATGATTATAATGATTGTTGTTGTAAGTTTAAGCACTGGCAACACTGATTGATAATAGAAATAACAGTGAGTGTCTATTATCTTCTAACTACACATATGTAGTATCAAATGGTCATGATATGAAATTAAGTCGAGAGGCATAATATGTCATATCTATCTTTTGGTTTATTGTAATGTTAATATCAATGAACTTATATCTACAGCACATAGTTACAGATAATATCTTTCAATGTTGGATGTGTACACCTGAATGCAACTGTCAATAATCTAGACTGACTTGAGTAAATACAACAACAGAACTTGTTGATCCTAGTACTGAAATAGTGATTAAAATTGAATTAGGGATATTTTTCATTAAAAAAATTGTTGCAAATAATATTATTGTATTGATTGTCTAGATTTTTGTGATTGTTTAGGTGTCTAACATTACCTAAAAGAACACTTCGTACTTTAGCTTATATCAGATATATTAAGTTAAGGGAAGATGCCTTCTAATAGAGGCCAACAGATTGCCCTAGATTTGTCCTTAGTTTGCATTTATGACTGCTATGACATTCTTTGTAAATTTTTGTTTTGCTATGATATATGTAACTGTGTGCATTTGAAAGTGGCACTATAGTGATGCATTTTCTTATACAGTACAAGGTAGTAGCAAAATATTAACAATGTCTCTATTTGTTATCAATTAGCATATATGATATTTACTCAATGTTCAATATAATAAAAAAACAGTGATATTACCATATGGCTGTTAAAACTACATAGTCAGACTCAGATATATTTTAGATTGTACGAAAGATAGCCAATTTGTGTGACCTCAAATTAGAATATCATTATAGTTTGTAAGAAACGACATGCTCATTGATTTTTATTTCAATTAGTCTTAAATTGTATATATTTAGTTTTTAATGTGAGTAATCCACCTTGACCCTACACAGCTTTTTCATAACATGTTTTCGTAACTGTTAACAAACAGTGTAATAATGGGTTATGTGTTGGAAAATAATTTTCTACAATTTGGTATTTTATTAGAATAATTCACGACGAATTGTGTTGTATACGAGATAAAAACTACCAATTTGTTAGAGTAAAAGAATATTGTTTATGGTAAGATAGATCAGTGAAAAATCGCCAGTTTAATGCGATCCTAATTGAAGATATACTAAATGAAATTTCGGTCCAACTGCCGTGAAGTATACTTGACTAGTGTAGTTAAGCGTAAGATTAAATTATGATATAGACTAAATAAGTTACCATTAATGAATAGAGTACTTACATAAATGTTATTCTGAATAATTTACAAGTCCATTTCTATATCAATTTTTTTATTTACATATGTCATACCTATATTATTTTCCTTACATTGGAAAACGCAATAAAATATTTTACACTATATTCACAAACTCATGTTATAAATATATTATTCAAATAATATTTGGAAAATAATTAGTTTGTAACTTGTATGTTTATTTATAATAAATGTTTAATACATTTTTATAAATGTAAGTGTTACCATAATAAGGGGTCACTTAATTTCAGAAAAAAAATTACAATAACATCCCCAATGTATTTATAAGAGAATGAACCATAAGACAGTACAAATTTTAGAAAATTAGAAAAGATATGTGTTGATAATGTGAAACTAAATGTATATGTTAATATTGTAACCTCAGAATATAGTTAGTATACTGTATTTATTCCTGTATGGACTTATTTTTATTATAAATGTCATTAATAAATGGGTTTATAAATATTAAATTATGTTTGATTTGCCTTTATATCTAGTTTTAAAACCTGATAAAGGTGAGCTACCTTACTATATTTATTTTAATCAAGGCCAAAGTTGAAATAATTGAAGTTTGTGTTTGAATGTCAAACTTATTTAATTCTAAAGTCGGTTGCGTAGCAAATGGGGCGGGGGGGATGAGTATGGCCATGGACGGTAGATTAGGAGACGGCATTTGGAGTTATGAAAGGAAGGTACGTTTTAAGTTTTAAATAGTAAAACCTGAAAAAGGGAAAATTATTTCATAATAATATAGTCTCAATGTTAGGAATACTAATTTGAGATGAGTATTGAAATTTCCTAAAATATAAATAATCTGTAATATTTTATTAATTTTTAAATCACGTTGTTATACTACCAAAATGCGTCATTTTTTTCTCTAAGCTATATTAGCTGATTTCTTGCCACTAGCTTAATGATCCGTCGGTTACACTGGTTCTCCTACGAAACTCCTCATGGCGAAGTCTACCACGCCGAAAAACTGGGCATAGTCCTCTCAATAGTTCGCTAAGCGGCCTTAAACTTCCAACATACGATCAGCAGTGAAGGGCCATCTCTCAAATTCATATGACATCACTGGCGATACGCACAGGTTGCACACTCTTGGTTTCAAGTTCAAAGGTACCGCTACACGGCCGAGTTAATCCGTCTATATAGACTGATATAGACCTCGGTCAAAGTTGGATTTACCTAGTCTTCCAGAGCGTAGAGCTTCCAAGAACTGCTGGCATAGGTTATACATATCCTTTATCTTCTTCATGTTCATCTTAAAATCTATCCATCTGGAGATACTATCGAGGTCATTGAACAGAACCGACGAATGACTGTGAGAAAGGTTTTCAGCAAGCTTTGTAGGTACCCGTGAGCGGAGGCGGCCCTTTACTAGCTGGAGTGATGACTTTGTTAAAGATTGCAGAAAATCGATGGATGCAGGATCGTGCTTTGTAGCATTCCTCGGGGGAGGCCTGTGTTCAGTAATGGATTTGTGATAGGCTATAATGAAGATGATGATTTTTGGGTCTGGCAATCCAGGGGCGGCAGCAACCCTATTAAAACAGATGTTTAAACTGTTAAAAGCCACTGGAAATTTTAATATTTTTACCAGTTCAATCCTAGTTCTTAACGGGGGTTACGGTTTTCGGCTATATATTTGTATGTCTGCTAGTTCAAAAAATCATGTAGCCTAAACATCTTGAAGGATTTTAGAGCGCGAGGTCTCGTCTTTACACCTTGCACTTATGTCATATTCTTTACACCTTGTCTGCCTTCACTGACACAAGTAGTGTGTCGGGAAAATGTTCCGGGGCCTAGCTTCTCAGAAGTATCCAATCGCCATTCGCTAATACGAGTGTGTTATCTACAATGGTTACCAACCCACGCCAAAGTGTGAACTACGTCATCGTACGTTCTGTATGTGGCTGGATATAGGTAGATACACTCTTCTCGCCTACCGCGTTGTCCAGCCAGTTCTATCTTGAGGTAAGACCCCACTTGGGTCTCTGTAAAAATTGGTATCTACGCGTTTGAGGAATTCCAGCTAACCTGTCGGTGAACGGTTGTTGGGTAATTCTTGGTTATTATCTACTAGTTACTACCCTTCTGACCGAGATCCCGAGGGAGCACCTTCCCATTGAACGAGTAGCGGTAGTTAATACTCGTAATATTCGTGGGTGGCGATGCAACCGCGCGTAAACTATTTTCCCGAGGAGCTCTACGAATGTGTTTCTGAATGGTTTTGCGTCTCACGTACCTATCACGTAAGTAGGTAGCGTCATATCCTTCTACATTTGAAGAGTGCGTACTTGGTACGTCGTAAATATAAAGCTGGCGTGAAGTAGATATGTGAGGCGGGGGCGAATGTAAGTTTTGTATAAGTAGGTATGTAGATTGGTTTTAACTCGAGACATCGAAGCATCTCGGCAGTTTCGTTTGTAAAATTTCTTCTTTGACGATGTTGATATGGTGCTGAGAAATTAATAGCTTGCTAAGATAACTCTCTCGTAATTTACGGTTGTAACAGTTGATTTCCTCGTCAGCCACATGCAATTTAGGTAGCAGTCTTCAGGATTATCCCATGGCGATTGGCTGTATCTTCACGCCCAGTCGTACAGATGGTAAGGCGTTCAGTGCCTTCTTAAGTTTTCTCACAGCATGTACTGCGTTAATGAACTTCGAGAAGTCCACAGTGGCGTCCATGTATTTTTTTTAAATACTAGTAATGCTATTAAACATTACTAATATTCCCTAAAATCACTTCTGGTAAGCTTAAAATGCTTGTGTTAGAAGTGGTTCACAACAGTAGTCAAATGGCGGATTCGAACCCACTACTTTCGAATTCGCGATCCGCGACCTGCCATTAGGCTACTGACGCTGGTGTGTATAACGCTAGCGTTCTTCTTTTGGAATGCATCAGTAAATACGGAGTATTAAGGAGAAGATAGGCAACTTTCCTGCGGGATTCCAGCTTCTGTTCTTCAAACATCACAAAGCTCCCTCGACTGATACCTTCTTGAAAGCGACGTCCTCCCAGAAATGGGGGACCCACAGAATGACATTGTGTTTATAACGCCATTTTAAAAAAAATAAAAAATAAAATTTCAAAACAAATTAGTTAATAATTTTTTCTATTCTTCACATTATTTCAGATAATTATGGGCGTCACCTGGAAAACTATTTTACGTTGGGATACAGGATATAGCGCCGACTCAGTCGAGTGGTGTCCTTTGGAGCCCTATAGAAATTTTCTCGTATGCGGCACATATCAGCTGGATAAGAAAAACGAAGGTATTATATATCGCACAACGGCGCATATACCGAAAGAAAATATGTATATACTTATTAACGTGAGCTGGATATTAATATCAGCACCGCTGGGACTCACATAATTCTTTCAGAACAGAAAAGTTCTGAAAGAATTATGTGAGTCCCAACGTTGCTTTAGTTCCTACATAATATAAAGGATGGCCTTGGGTTCCATACAATAAACCATACGATTAACTTTATACAGTGTTTCTTAATGATATAGAAACGTCAATCAATTAAATAAAGTAGTTTATCCACATGAATTGTATTATGTTTTAGTAATTTAAAAAATGATTGCAGATAAATCACCAGACGAAGATAGTGATAGTGTCAATAAATTTTGCCTTTATAATAAAGAAAAGGGTGTTGGCGCTCCTTAAGTGTAACTTTTACAGATAGAATAACAAACAGAACAAAATTTACTTGTTTTGCAGAAAACGCTTTATCAAAGAAATGACAAAGTTTTCATTTTTTGTAAGATAAGCCATGACGCCCTATGTAGGCTTACTCTCTCTTGCTCTTGAGCTATAATGATTATAGTGTTTCATCATCTGCTCAGCGATAAAGGCAAAAACATCGCTATGAAACCCATACATGACTAAGAAATTAATAATATTTTGAAGGTTTAGGGAGAGATCTTCTTGAGTTCTGGTATGGGACTGTAACGCTTCCCAAAGTCAATGAACGACTATGTTATAGTCTACTTAACTTTATGATATAATTCAACTAGGATTTAAACAAGGTTTAATGATAGCATATTATGCTCATCACTAAGCTTTCATGCTTCCACGAAAATATCACACATTTCGGACAAACGCATCTAGATTAACTTTTAAATAAAATTTATTCGTGATCGTTACTTAAATTTATTACAATTTAAAAAGATGCATTATTATTTTTTAATATACCTTATTTTCATATCAAATTTGCACCTGACGACATTTCCTCGTATCCTTTATTATAAGGTTTGTAAAACACATAATCCAGCGACCTTTTTATTTTTCAGAACAGCAGGACACGAAACAGAAAAGATTGGGCAGAATACATTTGTTTATGGTAGATACAAATACTAAAGAGTTATTTCCCATACAAACAATTGACACCTCTGGGATATTAGACCAGAAATGGTGCCACCATCCTATACAGAACTACCCTGTACTGGGTGTGGTCACGTCAGAAGGCTTCATACAGCTTTATAGATTGCACACAGTGAACGATTCCGTAGAATTGAAGTTGTGGACACAAGCTAGTATTGGGCAGGGCATTTTAGCTCTTTCACTGGATTGGTCGAGTAACAAGATCCATGTTCTTGAGCCAAGTATAGCGGTTAGTGATTCAGCGGGAAATGTAAAGATCTTGAAAGTAGTCGGTGACAGTTTAAGAGAAATCGGTGCATGGAAAGCTCATGGGTTCGAAGCTTGGATTGGCGCCTTTAATTTTTGGAATATGGATATTTTTTATTCGGGTGAGTTAGACATTTTTGTTGAGTTGCAAACATACGCGTGAACATTTATTGACATTACAATCAATAAATACCTTTGATATTTAAGATCATCGTATTGTCATCATTATTACAGTCTGTCATATGTCCACGACTGAACATAGGTCTCCCCATAGATTTTTTTCTTTTTTTTTTATTCTTTTTTTTTTTAAAAACGTTACCCCCACACTAGGATTTTCTCCTGTGTCGTGGAGGCATCTTTAGGATTTTACTTTAGGAGGATTATTATCTCAAAGCATGGTCCTAAGTCACCTGTAAAAACCATCAAATCACAGCCTACTAAGAGGATACTGCATCAAATGGAGGGTCGTCCTACATTGCACTAGTCAGTATTTTTTTTTTAGGATAGGGTGACAAACGAGCACACAGTCCAACTGATGATAAGTGGTTGCTGTGGCCCATAGACATCTAAATCTATCCTCGTATGCGAATCAAAATGCAGATGCATAGTCAGCCGTGATGACTAAGATGGAATGCCTCTTTTCCAATTTTTAGGCATTATAAGCCGCTATTTTACGCTGGTATTCTGTGAATCTGTGAGTTGTTGTCGAGGCATTTTGCTAATCAGTTGTCAGTTCGTCCAGCTATATGGCCCGTTCATTGCAACTACAGCCTACTGGTCCCTTATATAAAAATCTGGTATGTGAATTTCTTTAGGTACTACTTAATATCGACAGAAAGCTTTTAAAAAGCGGTCAAAAAGAAGAACACACAAAATAACACGAAGGGTTCAGGGAAAGAGAATGTTTGCTATAGTCTCATTTTGTATTTCAAAGTGTTTAAACTATAAGTAATTCTTATGAAACAACAAATAATTTACGCGTACGAGTATAACAACATTTTTAATTACCTATAGCTTTGTTTCATTTATCAGTTTCCTTTTAGGCGGTGATGACTGTCTTTTCAAAAGTTACGACATAAGAGTACCAGATGCAGTGATTACCAACAAGAGTCACGAAGCCGGAGTCACTGCAATCAGAAGTGACGTAGAGAATGAACACCGCCTCTTGACTGGCAGGTAAAAAATAATGAACTTCTACCACAAGCACAAGCAGGAAGAAGCCTCTTCTCATTTCTGAGCGGGTTAGGTATATACAATAAATAATTCTTCGCCCTGTTCCAGTGCTATGTTACTGACGGACTTATTGGAACGAAGTTCCTTATCGCGCGGTACGAATTTGACGGATAGGGGCTAGGCGAGAAAAAGTGTAAAATTTTTCCGTCACGACCCCCTTTCTTGCACTAAGCGAGAAGCTTTCTTCTACTTTTATTAAAAATTATCCCAAATTGAATGTGATATAAGGGCAACGTCTACTTTCACGCGCGCTCCTCTTTGTGTGATTCAATAATAGATTAAAGACCTTACAGTTGGGAAATGAATGTACTTGCGCAGATCAACGGTAAGGGCACTGCGGAGCAGGGGGCGTGCCGTCCTTGTGCTAGCGTACTTCACTGAGTCTGATAGACAATACGGTTTGCGGGAACGTGTTTTATAGTACTTACTGAACTAATTTTAACTGCAGTTTTCGAAAAATAGAATATCTTTAATAGTGAATTACTGTTATAGTTATATGAGTTTTACTAACACCTAACTTACTATATTCACAAATAAATAAATTTATTTGAATGAACTTGAGTTACTGAGTTAAATTGAATTCAAATGACAGCCATGCTTATGTTTCCCCTCATTTTTTTGATAAGATTGTTTATCCGAATGCGAATGCACTACATAATTAAATTTAACAATCGAAAACGGAAAACATCTATAAAACGAAAGTGTCACGAAAATATTTGGCAGTGCAACACTTGTTAATGTGTTTTTTCTTGTAGATTAAACATGATCCTGTTCGATAAATATTTTTAACTTATAAGTATGTACATAATGTTAATAAAGGATAATGTTGTGTATTATAATATCCAAATTTATTTTATTTCTATTTACGTGACAACCCATAGCATAAACGCTGGCCGCGTAGGTTGACATCAAATGCGTTTTACAACTGTAAGGTCTAAATTGTGGATTAAATTCACGTTTTCGTTTCTCAAGTTTTTGCCTACTATTTACTTTCGCAGTGACACGCTTACTACTATTGCTTAAGATAATAACTACAAGAAGCATTTTCCTTTTACACTTAACGGGCTTAGTGAATAATTTAATGAATAAAATTAAAAAAATATATTTTTGCTTATGAACAATGTAACTGACGACTGTCCTTATTATGATATTATTTTTAAAAAAATAATGAACTATTTACAACTAAATTATGCAAGTAGTCTCAATAACTAGTATTGGTACCTCAAAATGGAATCCGTTTCTCTTGTGGGGATGTGAATAGCGAACACACCATATATTAACCGTTTATTCACAACGTAAATTCGAGGTAGCGGATCAGAGCGCGAACGAGAGGCCTGACAGCGGTCGAACAGGCCGGGTCGTGCCACCACATTTTTTATGCATAGACGAGTACGTTTTCTTAAAATATTTTTTACAATTATTACTTGTTCTTGAGCACTTTTAATTTTCGTTAATGCAGCAATAATTTCTCTGTGACGGTCTTCATAACTTTGGACCTCTTTGACGTAAACACGACTCTTTACTAACGGGGAAAGTTACGGCCATATACTAATAATGGTTCCGTCGAGCTTGCAGACCGAAGTATAGGGCCTCCGTGCGCAATCCACATATCTTCATACTCACTATTTAAATTATCGCTCACTGAACTTGAATAATTTAATTATCTGTCAATTGTTCTTCGATTGGTAGGTTAAGATTATGACATGTAAGTTAATTTCTTGCCGCGGTAAAAACTCACCTTAGTATCTTTGCGCACCACGTAAACTTTCATTGCTTAAAATATAATATCGTACCATTTCATAGTATCCGTGGTTCGAATATTTTCGTTGTGTCTATATTGGTAACGAAGCGTACGTAATGAGGTCACGGTCAATATTGTCAGCTGTCGGCCGGGCGAGCGGATATAGGTACCGGTGTAACGGTAAATAGAAGGGATTCGCGCGGGAAGACGCGCGAATAGGTACCTTACCAAGCGACCTTTAGGAATGTGAGAGTTTGTATTTAAAAATAAAAATCACAGAATGTTTGACATTTTTTTAATTAATTTTTCTTCACCATTTACCTATATTATTTATTCTGAACCTTCCCTGCAAATTTGGCCAGTTATTGCAAAATAACCCTATATTTATATATAATAAGCACGTACAAATAACTATCAATAAACACGTTTGCATGGATGATTCATGTAAGAAGCATTGTCTTTAATAAATGATTACGTAGGTACCTATCAACTTTTAAAAGCATACTTATTGGGAGCTTTTCCGATGTCATCGGGCAGGCATGATCAAGGAGTTACGAGTATCATAAAACTCGGTGAAGTGAACAGGAACAGAGATTTTGTTGGTAGGAGACGAACAGAGAACATCATGAGATAAGGAGAGATAGTGAAATTCACTCTTAAGATAAGAATGGGACATTTCAAATGGAAAAAAGAACAACAACGGTTTGTAAGCCAATTTAGCTTAGTGCTATATTGCGGAATATGGTCATACTTACGAAGCCCGAAAATAAATCTTATACAGTTATTGAGAAGGCGTTCTGGCTTGTTCAGGAGAACTTGGAACAGATCCGGGTAACACAAATCTGCATAATCAATTATGAGTAATATGAGCGATTGGACAAATAGGGCGGAGCTTACATAGCTTAGAAATATTTTATTCCACAAACGTGCAGGTTTCCTCACCAAGTTTTCCTTTACTTCTGAGCACGTTGTAAATTGCAAATAACAATTTCATCGATCGCGGCGGCGCTCCCTCAGCTACAAGTACCTTATACTTTTTAAAATTTCATAGCATTTAGGCAGACTCGTGATGGCGCCGCCGCGCCGCTATATATATTCTATTCTATAGTCATGTATGTCTATAGAATGACTAATGAATATGAAAATTGAGGCTAATTTGAGGTGTGGATCAAGCGCGTTCAACTAAACTAAAACTAATGTTGCGCTTGATAAAAAATTTCAACGGTGTTAAGCAGTGCTTTCGTCATGGGGGGGGGGGGGTATATGTAGGAATTCGATGAATGCAGGTGGCTCAGGACCGTGCTTTGTGGCATTAATTGGGGAGGCATATGTTCAGCAGTGAACTTGTGAAGGGCTGATGATGACGAAGAAGTGCTTAACAGGTTAGGGTCTGGGCCCTCTTAGGCTTACCTTAGAAAAGACTGATAAGGAAGTTATATAACTATTTACTACTAATATAGCCTATTTATCTTTAACTAATATCATATAACTTCGTCTCCTCTTTGTATTTGTTCCGTGGCTGCGATAGACAAAATATTGTCGGTTTGTGTTAAATGACTTCCAGAAATATTTTATGAGCCAAGAGAAAGATTCAAACATCTCCAGTTTGTGTCTAACTTAAATTACCATTAAGTGGCATAACATAACTGTTTACTTTGCAGTTACGATGAAAAGGTGCGGTTATGGGACGCCAGAAACCTGAGAAAATGCATCACGGAGGTAGACGTCGGTGGCGGGGTATGGCGACTTAAATTCCATCCATGTGACAGTAGCGTGGTTTTAGCTGCTTGCATGTACGGCGGTTTCCGTGTACTACGGATCGATAAACAAGTGTCTGTAATTTGCGAGTATTTGGAACATGAGAGTATCGCCTACGGTGCGGATTGGAAGGTCGAGAAGAACTCTTCAACCGTTGCAACTTGCTCATTCTACGATTGTAAAATGCATATTGGCAAAATTGTTTTAGACTAAATAAACGTATTTAAGTCTTTGTATGGTTCCCACTACCTATATTTTAGTGTGTCAACGACCCCGCGGCAAACCGGTTTGTAGATGTTGCCACGAGTTTTGAGCACTGGCGCTGGACAATTTTGTGTCGATTCATTTTTATACACAATTGAGTTCTCCTTACATGTATGGTGCTTGCACTGCTTGACTATTGTCTATCGCCGCCTCGGCGCTTCGCCCCATACTCCTTAGGCACCAGAAACGTTTACTGCAAATATTGATGCATGTGGATGTCAGCCATCAATCACTAATAAAAAAACTAAATACACAATCAGGGACAAAAATGACCTCACCGAATTAGCGCCCACTCGAATATTTGGGTGCGCTATTAATACAGTAGCATTCGAATGCTCCCACGGTAAACACACCTCAGTGCTCGTTTAAAAAGTGTAAATATCACACAACCAGGACGCTCAAACAGGATGGAATTTCATATTTTCGGTAAGTATTAATATTAACATTATTTAATTGTTATTACTGTATTGTAAATACTGGTATTTAGTCAAGAAATCATCGTAAAAGCATTTTTTAAATTAAGTCGTAACAAAATAAGTCGTATTTTTTGAGTTATATCCGTTGATTCTGTTCTATTTGTGTACACGCTATTGTTTTTTTTTTATTATTAAAATATTGTTTTTTTTTGTTTAATGAGACTTCTTTACTGTTTCTCTAAATATTATAGTAACATTTTATAGATTTAATTTTGAATATATGCATGTAATAAAATTAAAGATGTGAGAAAATATTTTTTTTTTTTAGTTTTCGTCGAGATCCAGTGAGCTGTGGAGAATGGATATCAGTTATAGCACGTCAAAGAAGAAGAAGCCGAAGAATTCTTCAAGCCGACCCAAGGAAGCATTGTACGTTCGAAGCATTTTTTAGAAAGTGATGAATTCGTGTGCGTATATATTGGGTTCAGTTATTTACGCACATGAATTATTATTAATGTGTTTTGTTTATAGGAAGCAAATGATCATGATGTAGAAGATGAGTCTTCAAATAAGTAGTTGTAAATATAACAATGATATTTTTATTTGTTAATCTTTTATATTGTATATTGATCAATTCTAACTTCAATTCGTAATGAATTTTACAGGCTTGAAGGCAAAACCTTAAATTTATTTTGTTTTTTACATGCTATTTTTTAATTATTTTAAAATGTGATATGCCGATATAAATAATTACAAAATTATATTTTATCTCGTGTTCTATTATTGTTGGTTCATTTCAGATAAATATTGAACCAAGAGTTGCTGAAGTTCTTAACAGCCCAACTTCATTAATAAGTATTGGCTCAATTCTGGATACGCCAAAAAAATATCGAACTTACGAAAACAAAATAATGGACTAAAGAAAAAATACAGTAATTTGAAGGATATTCTGTCTCAAATAAACGTCAAACAGTAGATCAGTCATTACTTCTTGACCTATCTAAACATATAGAAATTACAGTCACATTTTATGTTATTTATTTAAAGAACGTAAAAGGCAGGAAACTACCATTTCCTCGATATCCACCAGGTGCCAGAAAATTCGCCATCACCCTACACTTCTATTCACGAGCTGCGTATACATATGAAAAATGTTTGACGCTTGCATTCCATAGATAAATATATATGTAGCAAGCTATTGCATTCCCGAATACTATATGCAACTGCTCGACTCTACTCATTCCTTGTCCAAGCGACGAGCCTCGGTCGTAAAAGGACAATGTTCAAACTCGCCTAAGAACCAACATATATTTGACTATTACCAAAATTCTTATCCTTAATTATGCATTAGATAATATTCATTAAATAGTAACGGACACTTCTGACTTGTGAAATCAAAATAAAAAGGACTTTTTTGATTTTGAACTTTGTACCTATTTTTTAATACTATTGTGCTTCGTGTATGGCCTCCTGTGATTTGGCCAATCGCACAATACCTTCATTCACATATTTCAAAAGTTGTCATAAACTCAAATATATTATGAAAACGTTTATATTTTAAAATATATCTGAGAATAATATATGCCACAAGCAACTGGGGTACAGTGAAATCATCTATTTTCATTAAAAATAACAATACTTTTATCATCTCATTGGCAAATCAGCATTGTGCCACGCAAAAAAAAAGTCAAAAACGTTGACAGATGACAACTAGTCAAAATAGATAGACGTCAGACGTGCTATTGTTTTGGTTTCGTTTGAAAAAATACATTTCTGTAAATGTTTTAGGAATCTAAGTGCACTCTGTAGTTGCTTTGTATGCGATAAGTTTATATAAATTACGAACTTGAACAACAGATACGATGTTTCATAAACATAAAACATAACCTCAAAATCTCTATGATAACTGCAAATATCTAAGTTTTCAGAAGTGTCCGTCAGGAGTTATTGTTCTTACATACAATTATGTGTAATTTCGGACTTGAAAAGGTATTTTTTTTCACTGTTGGTTCTTAGGCGAACATTGTATGGACGCAAAACATTGTCCTTTTATTGCTTTTTATTGGCACTTTGTAAGTCCGACTTTAAACCATGCGAGTAAGGTTGAATTTGTTTTATTATAGGTTGACTAGCAAGTACCGGTCATAAAAATTTATTGCTTTTTGTACGTAGCTTTGTGAATACAACTTTATGCAAGGCATTTAAGGTTGAATTTATATTAATGTATATTTATTTCAACTAGAATTACGTCAAAACATTTGCCGACAATTTTTAGAGAACTTTTCCATGGGATTGTGCATCTAGTTTTTTATTAGTGATCGATGATGCCAGCGCTCAAAAACCATGCCGCTTGCTGTTACCACCTTTGTGTGCATTGTTTTAACTGATTGTCATCCGTAAATATGTAGCGCCTACTATTTTATTACGCACATTCGTAAGTAAGTGTTGAATTCGAAAGCACTCGGTGGCGTTCTGCCAGTTTGTCGCTCGCGCTTGCTTACAGATTTAGGTATCTAATTGTTGCACCCTTTTCCTTCGACACGGTCAAGCGAACACTGTCGGCCAGGGCCGACAGTGTTCGCGCTTTATATTTGTAGTGCTGTGCTAACAATAACAGGCAATAACAGTATCGTAATCTGTTCTTATACAGTTATACTTTATAAAATAATACGTTTTGTTTTTCTTTTTATTTGTTTACCCGGCTTTCGTTTAATGGACTGTTTCTGCTTTTCAAACTGACATCGGCGCTAAATCGGATTTCGATTGTGTTTTGTATTACGTTCTTTTTACTTTTGGTGCATAATAATGCCTAAACGTGGACAAACATTGAAAAGTGGAGCCCGTGAGTTAATCATCAAGCTGCAAGATTACTTTGAGCGGGAGCGGCAAAATGGCGGACTCCTGTTACCTGTCGAACAAGTACAAGAACGCGTCTCTCAGGCGCTTGGAGTTAGCAAACGAACGATAACAAATACTAATAAAGAAAAGTTCGGCTCTACTGGCACGGAAGATAATATTTTACGTACTCCGAAGAAGAAACGTAGAACTAAACCCGTGACAGATATTGACACCTTTGACGCCGATGCAATCAGAAATCATATATATGGTTACATAATAAACATAAACACTCACGCCTGTCACCCAGAGGGGTAGGCAGAGATTATGGACTTCCATTTGGCACGATCCTGACACACCTCTCTCGCTTCCTCCACATCCATATACCTACGCATACACGCTCGTCGGTTAAAGGTACTCTTGATTTGGCCCATTTTTAATATATCGCCAATTTGGTCGATAAACTTTCGCCTAGGGCGACCCTTCCCGACTATGCCGTTCACCTCTGCAACATAAATTTGCTTTGTCACTCTTTCCTCATTCATTCTTTCTACATGGCCAAACCACCGAAGCATTCCTTTCTTAATCCTGGTCACAACATCATCTTGCAAACCACACTCTTCTCTTATTAAACAATTTCTCACTCTGTCATTCAGCTTCATCCCTAACATACTCCTTAATGACCGCATTTCTACAGCATTGATTCTACTCTCATGCTTCTTCTGCCACACCCAATTTTCACTACCATACATTAAAGTAGGTACTAACACAGCATTGTGAATTGCCATACGTGCCTTTTTGGACACATTCTGACTTTTCACAATAGAGTGTAGAGCCCCATTCACTCTATTTCCTGCATTCACTCGTCGTTCTATATCCTTATCATATCTACCATCCCTGCTAAACACACATCCCAAATATACAAACTCATCTACTTGCTCTACCAACTCCCCTTCTATTCTTATTTCACATATCGTTTTACTTTCTTCTCTTTCAAAAACCATAACTTTCGTCTTACTTGCGTTCACTTTCATTCCCTTTTCTTTTAATGTCCTGTTCATTAATGTAACCATCATTTGCAACTCTGCTGCCGACGACGCAAGTATGACTTGATCATCGGCGTACAAAAGGCATTTGACGGTTAACTCACCCATTCTTAACCCCCATTCTTCTACTTTCAAATTTTCCAAACAACTGTCCATAAATAGGTTGAACAACCACGGGGAAGCCACACAGCCCTGTCTGACACCTTTATGGATGTCAAACCAGTCTGAGTAGGCCCCGTTGATCCTGACACAAGCACTAGAGTCCCTATATAGAGACTTCAATGCCTGTTCAGACCAGCGCTCAACCCAAATGAGTTCAGTGTTTGCCATAACACATCCCTGTCCACTCTGTCATAAGCCTTCTCCAAGTCCATGAACGCACAAAAAACTTTTTGGTTTTTGGCCAAAAACTTCTCGACGATCATGCGCATGGAAAAGACCTGATCCGTACATCACATTCCCTTTCTAAATCCCGCTTGCACATCCCAAATTTTTCCGTCAGTTTCTTTCATAACTCTTTCAATTAGTACCTTAGCATACAGTTTTCCCACAATGCTAAGAAGGCTGATACCACGGTAGTTTTTACAGTCCTGCTGTGATCCTTTTCCCTTATATATTGGGACTATTACGGCTTTGCACCAGTCTCCCGGTA